ATCTATCTATCTATGTTTTGTTGTATTTGTGCTGATAAATAAATAAAGGGAGATTAGTATAGATCTATTTCAAGCTATTTAGCTCTCATCAGCTAGCCATACCCTTACTGGGATTCGAACCTGGGCTATATTACATACTAGGCTAAAAACTAAAAACATACTAAAAAACATACTAAAAACATACTAAAAAAATCTAATATATATATATAATATATATAAAACAAGCCTTTTTCCCTTTCTCTAATACAACGAACACCATTCCTTTGTAAAACAAGATGATCATCCTGAAATGTTTCCTCTTAGAGAGCAAGGACACCCCAAAGGGTCTACAAGGGCTGAGCTCTTCCTTGTCGTGGTTTCCTTCTAGAACACCAAAGTCCGGGCCAACTTTGGCTCCCATCAGTTTGCCTACGTCGAAGGGCAAGCGCACCGGAACGCCGCGGACCTCTGTATCGACCTGGCGGAGGAGATCAGTGCCAACTTCGAAGTGCTGCCTTTCGCCATGGCCTCCGACAGCGACAATGACGCCGGCACCAGCAGCGCCTCCGATCCTGGGCCTCACGGGCCTCCCTGTAGGATTGCAGCTGTGGCCACCGCTCAGCAACGTGAGGCTCCCCTGGGCCCGCTGTGTCTCCCGCCTCTCCCTCCCCTCCCTGGGAAAGTCAGAACAGCGCAAGGAGGACTTGCTTAGTTGGTGGCATTCTGGGGGAAAGTCTGGAAAGAGTAGAAGGGTTGTCCCAACAGGCACGCCTGGGCTTTTATGAAAGGACGCGGCGTGGTTTCCTTCTGCTTCCACGCAAAATTTGGAGACAAGGTGTCTCACTTTATCAATGAGTCATCAACATTATATCTAATACCTGCTAAGCAGCCTGACCAAAAAGTAGGACAGGACAGGATGGAATCGGAATAGAAACGGAAACAAGAGACTGGAATTAGGGATAAGGATAGGATAGAAATGGGAATAATAGGAATAGGATTAGGATTAGAACAGAACACGAAATAGGAATAGAACAGAATCCTTTATTGGCCAAAGGAGCCGAGGTGGCGCAGTGGTTAGGGTGCAGTACTGCAGGCCACTTCAGCTGACTGTTATCTGCAGTTCAGCGGTTCAAATCTCACCGGCTNGGGGGGGGGAGGGCTTTTTGGGCACGTTTTTGAGGGTTTTTTCAGTTTGGGCCAAAAAAGCCTCGAAAATGGGCCTGAAAAAAAACCCCCAAATCAGGTGAAAAAAGCCTCAAAAATGGGTCGAAAGAAGGCCTGAAAAGGGGCTGTGTGGAGGCCAAAAATGTCCAGCAGGTGGGCAGGGCTTTGGCAATATTCCGTCTATAAGACGCACAGACATTTCCAGCCCCTTTTGGGAGACAAAAAAGGGCGTCTTATAGTCCGAAAAATATGGGAAGAGGCTGTCCTCTGTCCTGTCTGCGCTGCGGGCGCCCACCCAGTTTGTTTCCGTAAGGGGAAAGTTGGTGACTGAGCGAGAAGCGAGTGGAAGGGGCCCTTTTTCTCTTCTTCCCTCCCAGATGGCACCATCAGCTCCACGTCCATCCTCCTGGCCCAGTCCCTCCAGCACTCCATCCACTCCCAGAGCTGCTCGGCCACCGAGCTCTTCTACCAGGGCAACGCCCAGACGGTGCAGGAGTGGCTCACCATCGCCATCGCCCGCACCCTGCACCAGGGGGAGGAGAGCCTGCTCGAACTGACCAGGCAGGCCTGCTACTTCCTGCAGGCAAGTCGGAAGGGAAGCCGCCTGCCCCCAGCAGAAGCCTTGCCTGGCTTCCTCTCGGCCTGCCTGGTATTGTGGTTTTGGGAATCTCTGCTTTCTGGTTTCAGAACGCTCCGGACCAGTTCCCCTCGGAAGAGTTCCCCATCTCGGAATCCAAAGTCAACATGGACGTCCATTTTCCCGGGGCTGCCTTCGTCATCGTCTCCTGCAAGGAAAGCCAGTCCGGATTCCGTAAAGAGTAAGAGATCCTGGCGGAGAGCAAGGAATTGCGGCTGAGCCTCCCGGAATAGACCGACTCCTCCTCTTTCCCCAGCTGATCCCCTTCAACTGTGTAGGGATTCCAGGAAGGGGAGCTGGGCGCTGGCTGGCTAACCCGTCCTTATCTTTTGCAGCTCGTCCCTCTACAAGGCCCCCTGGGCCCGGATCCTGCTCTACGGCCTGGGCCACAAGGTCAAGAAGAACGGGCAGCTGAACCTCATCGAGGCCGTGTGCTACCCTCGGGATGCTTCCCCGACCAACACGGGCCTGACGCCACCACCAACCACCAACCAGTATCCTTCGGTCATCATCTCCACCGACAAGGTCCACATCAAACTGGGTACGATTGGGAAGCAGATGCTTAGAATCACGCTTGCAAAGCTGGCCAGGAATTCTGGTTCTGACCCCTTAGAGTTGAGCCTGGTGCCTGGAGAGGCTCCTGGACGCAGCTGGAGCTCAGATGCCAAGTACCGTATTTTTGGAGTATAAGATGGACCTCCCCCCCAAAAGAGCATGGAAATATTGGTGCATCTTATACACCGAATACAGCCATTTTCGGCCTTCTGAAGCCCCGCCCCCGCATCCCATTTTTTGCAAAAATGGGGGCGTTTTTGCCTGGCTCCAGCCCTGCTGAAGTCTGCAGAGTGCTCCTGGGGGCCGGGGAGGTCAAAACCTTTTTTTTTTCCCCTTATTTACCTCTTCGAAATTTTTGTGCGTCCTATACTCCGGTGCGTCTTATAGTCCGAAAAATACAGCAGTTCCCTGGGCTGAGATTTTTCAGTCGCGTTGTGGAGGAAGAGATACCCTGTTCTTGGGCGGGAGGAAAGATGCCGGGAGCCGGTGTTTTACTTCTGGTGTGTGTCAGATATTTTGGCTCTGGGTAAGCCGTCTCTTAGGGAAATGACACGCACAGAAGCCCCGTCCCGAGTCTAAATTCTGCCCATCGGCTCTTCTGCTTTTGTGGGTCTCCATTCCAGGCGTGTCCCCTCCGCCGGGTGCTGTGCTGGTCCTGCACTCCCTCCCGCTCGAGTTCCCTCTGGCCGTGGCCTTTGCAGAGCAGCTGCTTACCTGGAAGCAGGAGGAGGGCGAGGGGAGATCCGACGATGAGCCGGACGCCATCCCTGCCTCCGTCTTCCTGCAAGTGGTGGAAATTCTAGGTGAGAGAGAAGTGGCTGGGGATGCATCGGACAGCCAGGAGAGGTGGGGGAACGGGGTTTGCATCCCTTGAAAAATGAATGTGCAGAAATGGATAGAGACTCTATGGAAATGAAGGAGAGGGAAGAAGAACCAAGTATTATCAAATCTGGAATAGATGGGATTCCTGGCTTGAGAGCAAATGTGAAACTTAAAGTATAAATAGTAAAAGTATAATATATAGAGTTTATTTAAATAAGGATATAAATTAGGATAGTGATATATAGAATTTTTTGTAAATAGGATTGTTATGAAAGGCAGTTAAGGCAGTTGGACTTATCTACCGCTTCATAGGGCTTTCAGCCCTCTCCAAGCGGTTTACAGAGTCAGCATATTGCCCCCAACAATCTGGGTCCTCATTTCACCCAGATAGATAGATAGATAGATGATTGATAGATAGATAGATAGATAGATAGATAGATAGATAGATAGATAGATAGATAGATAGATAGATAGATAGAT